ATGAAAATTTTAGTAGGAGCTAAAAATCTTTTTCTCAAGTTTTGAAATTTTTTGGAATTTTCATTTTTAATATAATTTTCTCTGATGTCTTTGAATAAAATTCTCAAGTTCGGATTTTTCTGGATTTTATTTATTTATAATCTGATATCTTTTTCTGAAATCTTGGAAATTTTCTTGTTTTTTTCATGTTTTTTTTTTCTGATAACCCAAAAAAAATGATTTGAGAACTTTCTGTTTTTTTTATCTAAACATGTTTTCTGATAATTTTTTCTCAATTTTTGGAATAAAGAGCATATAATTTTTAATAACAAAGATAAAAGTCTTCTGACAAATTGTATCCTGGGAAAAAAAGGGTTTAACCGGATGTATAAGATAAGGTTAGAAGGGATGAAAATTTTAGTAGGAGCTAAAATTTTTTCTCAAATTTTGAACTTTTCTTGGTTTTACATAGACTTTTTTCTGATATTTTAAAATGGATTTATTTGGAATTTTCAGTTTTTTATATAATTTTTTCTAATGTCTTTCAAAAAACTCTCAGGTTTTGGATTATTCTGGTTTTTATATAAAATTAATATAATCTGATATCTTTTTCTCAAATCTTGGAATTTTTTGTTGTTTACATATTATTTTTTTCTGATACCTCAAAAAAATTATTTGAGAGTTTTCTGTTTTTTTTTTTAGATAAAGATGTTTTCTGTTATCTTTTTCTTAAAATTTGGAATAAATAGCATATAATTTTTTAATACAAAGATAAAAGTATTCTGACAATTTATATACTGGGAAAAAGAAAGGATTAAACATGATGTAAAAGAAAAGGTTAAAAGGGATGAAAATTTTAGTAGGAGCTGAAAACCTTCTCAAATTTTGAAATTTTCTGGGTTTTGCATAGACTTTTCCTGATATTTTAAAATGGAGTTATTTTGGAATTTTTAGTTTTTTATATAATTCGTTCTGATGTCTTTAAATAAAATTCTTAGGTTTTGGGTTATTCTGGTTTTTTATTTATATATAATCTGATATCTTTTTCTCAAACCTTGGAATTTTTTTTAAATAATTTTTTTTCTGATGTTTCAAAATGAAATTCTCAAGCTTCCGATTTTTCTGGTTTCTATTTATTTATAATCTGATATCTTTTTCTCAGATCTTAGAATTTTCTGTTTTTTTCATAATTTCTTTCCTGATAACTCAAAAAAATGATTTGAGAACTTTCTGTTTTTTATCTATATTTGTTTTCTGATATCTTTTTCTCAAATTTTGGAATAAAGAGCATATAAGTTTTTATTACAAAGATAAAAGTCTCCTGACAAATTATATCCCGGGGGAAAAACAAAGGATTAAACAGGATGTAAAAGATAAGGTTAGAAGGGATGAAAATTTTAGTAGGAGCTAAATTTTTTTTCTCCAATTTTGAACTTTTCTTGGTTTTACATAGACTTTTTTCTGATACTTTAAAATGGATTTATTTGGAATTTTCAGTTTTTTTTATAATTTTTTCTGATGTCTTTCAAAAAATTTTCAGGTTTTGGATTATTCTGGTTTTTATTTATATATAATCTGATATCTTTTTCTCAAATTTTGGAATTTTCTGTTTTTTTCATATATTTTTTCTGATAACTCAAAAAAATGATTTGAGAACTTTCTGTTTTTTATCTATATTTGTTTTCTGATATCTTTTTCTCAAATTTTGGAATAAAGAGCATATAAGTTTTTATTACAAAGATAAAAGTCTCCTGACAAATTATATCCCGGGGGAAAAACAAAGGATTAAACAGGATGTAAAAGATAAGGTTAGAAGGGATGAAAATTTTAGTAGGAGCTAAATTTTTTTTCTCCAATTTTGAACTTTTCTTGGTTTTACATAGACTTTTTTCTGATACTTTAAAATGGATTTATTTGGAATTTTCAGTTTTTTTTATAATTTTTTCTGATGTCTTTTAAAAAAATTCTCAGGTTACGGATTATTCTAGTTTTTTGTATATATATATATAATCTGATATCATTTTCTCAAAACTTGGAATTTTCTGTTTTTTACATATATTTTTTTCTGATACCTCAAATTCTGATATTTTAAATGGATTTTTTTGGATTTTTTAGTTTTAATATAATTTTTTCTGATGTCCTTAAAAAAAAGTCTCAAATTTCGGATTTTTCTGGTTTTTTTTATATATAATCTTATATCTTTCTCTCAAATCTTGGAATTTTCTGTTTTTTACATGTTTTTTTCTGATAACTCAAAAAAAATTATTTGAGAACTTTCTGTTTTTTATCTACACATGTGTCTGATGTCTTTTTCTCAAATTTTGGAATAAAGAGCATATAATTTTTTATTACAAAGATAAAAGTCTTCTGACAAATTATATGCTGGAAAAAAGAAAGGATTAAGCAGGATGTAAAAGAAAAGGTTAAAAGGGATGAAAATATTATTAGAAGCTGAAAACCTTCTTCTCAAATTTTGAAATTTTCTGGGTTTTACATAGACTTTTTCCTGATATCTTAAAATGGAATTATTTTAGAATTTTTAGTTTTTTATATAATTTTTTCTGATGTCTTTAATTAAAATTCTCACGTTCTGGATTATTCTGGTTTTTTAATTATATGTAATCTGATATCTTTTTCTCAAATCTTGGAATTTTCTGTTTTTTACATGTATTTTTTTCTGATACCTCAAAAAAAATTATTTGAGAGTTTTCTGTTTTTTTTTTAGATAAAGATGTTTTCTGTTATCTTTTTCTCAAATTTTGGAATAAATAGCATATAATTTTTCAATACAAAGATAAAAGTCATCTGACAATTTATATACTGGGAAAAAGAAAGGATTAAACATGATGTAAAAGAAAAGGTTAAAAGGGATGAAAATATTAGTAGGAGCTGAAAACCTTCTTCTCAAATTTTGAAATTTTCTGTGTTTTACATAGACTTTTTCCTGATATCTTAAATGGAATTATTTTGGAATTTTTAGTTTTTTATATAATTCTTTCTGATGTCTTGAAATAAAATTCTCAGGTTTTGGATTATTCTGGTATTTTAATTATATATAATCTGATATATTTTTCTCAAATCTTGGAAATTTCGGTTTTTTAGATATATATTTTTCTGATACTTGAATAAAAATTATTTGAGAATTTTCTGTTTTTTATGAAAACATGTTTTCTGATATCTTTTTCTCAAAAGTGGGATTTTTCTTTTTTAATAAATTTTTTTTTCTGATGACTTCAAATAAAATTCAAGTTTCGGATTTTTCAGGTTTTTATTTATTTATAATCTGATATCTTTCTCTCAAATCTTGGAATTTTCCGTTTTTAACATGTTTTTTTTTCTGACAACTCAAAAAAATATTTTGGAACTTTGTTTTTTTTTATCTATACATGTTTTCTGATATCTTTTTCTCAAATTTTGGAATAAAGAGCATATAATTTGTTATTACAAAGATAAAAGTCTTCTGACAAATTATATCCTGGGGAAAACAAAGGATTAAACAGGATGTAAAAGTTAAGCTTAGAAGTGATGAAAATTTTAGTAGGAGCTTAAAATCTTTTTCTCAAATTTTCCGGGTTTTACATAGACTTTTTTCTGATATCTTAAAATGGAATTATTTTGAAATTTTCAGTTTTTTATATAATTTTTTCTGATGTCTTTTAAAAGACTTTTCAGGTTTCGGATTGTTGTGGTTTTTTATATATATAATCTGATATCTTTTTCTCAAGTTTTGGAATTTTTTGTTTTTTACATATTTTTTTTTCTGATACCTCAGAAAGAAATTTTTGAGAGTTTTGTTTTTTTTTTATCTATACATGTTTTCTGATATCCTCTTCTCAAATTTTGGAATAAAGGGTATATAATTTTTTATTACAAAGATAAAAGTCTTCTGACAAATTATATCCTGGGGGAAAACAAAGGATTAAACAGGATGTAAAAGATAAGGTTAGAAGGGATGAAAATTTTAGTAGGAGCTAAAATTGTTTCTCAAATTTTGAACTTTTCTTGGTTTTACATAGACTTTTTTCTGATATTTTAAAATGGATTTATTTGGAATTTTCAGTTTTTTTTTTATAATTTTTTCTGATGTCTTTCAAAAAATTTTCAGGTTTTGGATTATTCTGGTTTTTATTTATATATAATCTGATATCTTTTTCTCAAATTTTGGAATTTTCTGTTTTTTTCATATATTTTTTCTGATACTTCAAAAAAAATTATTTGAGAATTTTTTGTTTTTTATATATACATGTTTTCTGATATCTTTTTCTCAAAAGTGGGAATTTTTTATTTTAATAATTTTTTTTCTGATATCTTTGAGATAAATTACTTCAAGTGAAAAAAAGTTATCTGATAATATTTTATTCCCCCTCAGCGATTTCATAAAGTTATCCTCTTTAATAACAATTGACGAAATTGTCCCCAATGATTCCGGTCATATACCCCTAAAAATCAACTCAAGTGAAAAAATTAATCTGATAAGATATTTATTACGACCCCCGAGAAAAAAAAAGATTAGGCTAATTGAGTAACATAGTCACGCGACCTTGACAGGTTGACCTTTCTCCGAAAACAGGCTTGACCTCTTGTTGCGCTATACTACTAACCACAGTGTGGTGGGGCTATAATGTTTTTGTAACTAGACTGGTAGGGGCTACAATAATGGGAAAGACACGAAAAGAAAGTATGGGCTGGGGCTATTTTCATGACATAACGACTGACTGCGCAAAATGTTTCACCCAACCAACGGCCTTTGACCTTTCATGCTTATTCCCCTGATATTTTCGAGAATGAAACCAGTCCTTCCCGCTAATTATTTGCTGATTCTGGGCATTAGGTTGATCCCTGGGAGAATAAACTGAAAGAGAAACTACCCGATTCTCGAAATCAATTCTAAATATTTACTAGATCATTTGCACTTATAATTCAATAAATTGGAGTGTATATTAGCAAAAAAAAGTCATACTTAATGCTGAATGATCGTTATTTTCAACCTGAAACTTGAAACATTAATATGGTTTAATTGCCTTGGTAGTGTACTCTTGCTTCTGGTATTCACTCAGTGAGTCATACGCGGGCTTGATCTGATCGACGAGAGCGGACAATCCCCCGTTGAGCTTCTTTGAGAGTTTGTAGTCAATACTGAATAAGTACATGGCATTGATATTTTTCTGGTGCTTCACATTAACATAGGGTACATAATCTTGAGGTCTCATTCCAACAACTTTATGATGCTAATCTCACCTGAAAACGCAGTGAGTGATGATTAACCACATAGTAGTGAAGATATACTACGTACGTTCAATTTTCAATAATTTCTAATCAATTAACGTTAAGTTTTGATAAAAACTACTTAGTTGATTAAATTTCGTCATCTAACAAAAGGAAAATATGACAGCGTGCCTGTCGATTTTCAGCGGAACAAAATTCTTTCCCTTGACAAGCGTTTATCTTAATGATCTTCTGAAGTTCTATTTGCGGTCAGTGAATACGATGCATTCAAGAAGTTTTTGTTGCTTAAATTTTTTCATACAAGACAAGGAGGTCGTGCCTTCCCCTTTACAACAAAACATTTTGCAAAAATAAACTTAACTCAGCCTCTATGCAGAACAGAAGTTCTCGACTCTTAAATGTCTTGAGTGAAAACAACTTATTGTCGGAAAATCTTGAGTATGAATCAAATATACAATTTTGTGCACAGAATTAAGGATACATGTATATTGGGCAACTCAGAACTAATCCACTTTATCTTTCAACTCTAAATTGTTTTGCCTTGAAGAACCATTAGTTTCGTGCTATAAGGAAACCCATTTTGAGTTGCGATTCTACTATGAAAATATGACCTTCCAATTCCTTCTAGTTTTCGAGATATCGCGATGTTTAATTTGTACTTGGCGATTTTTTTCCCGGTTGGTTAGCAATTTACTTGCCTTGAAGCTGATAATATGCATAATAATCCAGTGTTTTGAGTTATCCGGATAGTTCTGCAGTAAATAGGAAATAGACACATTGAAAACTTTTTAAAAAGTTTATAGAAAGGAGGAAGAAAAAGTATATATCTTTAACCTTATTTTTGGGTCATATTAGTCTACCGTTGAGAATTACAGGTACAGTTTGGAATCCATTTTCTTCTAGTCTTCGAATTTTATTTTTTATTTTTAAGTGTTATCTTCAGTTCTTGATAGATTCTTTAACATTTCATCCTTGTTGAGTAGCTTTAAAATTGGCGTTTAAGCGTTCAATATTGTGTTATAAGAAATTATTGATGGTTCCCACTTAACTTAGAATTAATTTATAAATATTAATACGGATGATAACTTATATTTCTGTTTGTGTTTTGAACAAGGGCAACATTCAGTGCGCATAACTTATGCCTTTTTTCTATCCTCTCCACTGTAAAGCCTGCATTTCGTGATCAAAAGAAGATCGAGAAATTCATTCTTTCTTTTTTTCTTTTACTATTTAGAAATTCTTAGTTAAAAATTAATCTACGTCTACCACACATTTCAAAGATGATTACTAGCTAGAGCAGAGGCCTCGAGCTAAAGTGCTTGAAGCTAATCTCCAACTGAACCCTGAAAAACTGTTATAAACTTGATATTTTCCATAGTAGCCATCACTAATTCACTAACACAATTAAGATTCGAAATTTTCGACCACACAACGAGGTCATTTTAAAAATGAAAAATCTAACATGGAAAAATTGCGAAACTCTCACGAAAACTAAAATTGTAGAAACTAAGCCAGCAAAATTATACATACACATGATAGTCCGACAAACACTAGGCTTTTCAATGCCGAAAATTTCCTGCTTGCAAAAAAACAGATCCTTACCGAATTCGAATCTATAAACTTGTCTTTACCCAACATGTAGGTTACCCCTGAAATGACGCAGAACGCGTCCTTGAACTTGAAATATTTAAAAACCAAACTATCAAATTATTCACTGATTCAGTTAGACAAGTTGTTAACCTGGACAAAAAGTCCACGTTCTAATTGGATAGCGCTTTGAATCCATCCAATAATCCAGTTTGAAATAAAGCCAATTTGGAACAACGATAGCCGGTTTAAGTCCAAGAAGCACAAAATGATTCGATCACATTCATAGATCTACCATTTTCCGATCTTATGTCGTTTTTGTGCGAGGTGATGAGAGAACAATAAATACGTAAAAACTAAAATTTTTCTGGATTGAAAATAAACTTTTCACTACTCAAATGAAACTCTACCCTAACTTTGCGGGAGAAGGTCTTTAATTACTCGCACAAAATTAGACAAAAACTTAAAATCAAATAGTTTTGCTTTCAATCCTTGGACAAATTTTTGATTATTTTTTACTTTCGTTCAAATAGGGACTGAAAGGGTTTCAATATGATATATCACTCGAGTCATTCCGATGATTTTTGTGGTACCTGAGTTTGCACAAAATTAAAACACAACCGAAAACAAAAACCCATCCCATTATCAATGCTCGAAGCAATTAGGTCGATTTGAAAAAATCAAGTAACTGTATCAATAGACTTTCACCGATTTTCACTGCGCTTGGAACTTCGATTCAAATATCTGAAAAATGAAGTACACGGAATAGAGGTCGATCGCCTAGCCAACAAAACAAAGCAAGTTATTTTAATAGCTCTATTCCAAACCATTTTCAATTCTTGATTACCTACACAAAAAAAATCACGGTACAATGAACGAGTTTTTAGAATCAATCCTAATTAAATTCCAAATTAAAGAAAAACTAGCGCATGACTCGCACCGATGGTGCTTCAAACAGATCGTTGAGTGTAGAAAATAGCTTCTTGAAAATGTATTAAAACAGCGATATTTTATTGCAACCGTGGAAATAAACTGGACTCATCTATTAAGAGGTTTCATTTTCATAAAAAACGCCGTATCTCGAAAAACAAAATGATTTGAGCAAATAAAAATAAAGGGCAGCTTTGCTAATCTATATTGTTCACTGGCAGCATCCCACCATAGGGTTAAAAACTTCAAGTTTTGAAAAAAAATCATGAAAACGCCATATCTCGGAAACAAAAAGGATTTGAGGCAGTAAACGTTAGAGGACCTGACAGTACCCACTGATTTGTATTTTAATCGTAAAAGATAGAGGCCCTGACAATACCCCCTGATTTGTACCCTGACTGAACCCCACCATTAGGGTTGAGAGTTTCAAGATCGGTTAGTTTTCATGAAAACTCCGTATCACGAAAACCAAAAAGGTTTCAGCAGTCATACTTGGACGCCAAATTTGCAATTCCTGAGTATAACCTGACAGTACCCCATTATAGGGTTGAGAATTTCAATTTCGTTTACTTTATTTTATATCTAAGTTTTAAAAAAAAACGATAAAAGTCATAAAAAACGCCAAATCTCGAAAACCGCCAAATCTCGAAAACCAAAAAGACTTGAGCTGTCATCTTTGGATGCCAGCTTTGCAACTCATGAGCATACGCTGACAGCACCACATTGTAGGGTTGAGAATTTCAAGCTCGGTTACTTTATTTTATATATAAGTTTTTTAATTTAAAAAAAATAATAAAAAACGCAATATCTCGAAAACATTAAGACTTCTTAAACATGTCTCAAGAGAAACGCCAGTTAAATAATGAATAGATTGTCAATAAAGCCGGCAGAAATTGAGACAAAAGACAAAATTATTCAGGTATTTCTAAATCCAATGTTCGGTATATGCATATTGGAGATGGTATAAAAGATCAAAATAATAACTTTAAAATGCAAAGATTTACAGCCCAAAGAAGAGAAGTTTAAGCGAGAGCAGTTCAAAAGGCATCAGAGTTGTTTACAGCAAAAAATTAGCCCTTATTGTAAAAAGTTTAGAACAAATGATTACTTTAGCACACTAGATTCTACCGAGCGTTTTTGAGATACTCATAATAACGTGCAATCACATCAACTTGCGCATAGTTCCTTCTAGCTCATTAAGTTGTGGATTAGGAGTCTCGCGTCCTCGCATCTGCACCAATGTCGCTTGACAATCGGCAAATACTAATGAAACAGAGAACAGCTGCTATTAAATAGCGTTGCTATGTAGCAAAATTGTCACCAAATGAGCACTTTTGTTTGCAAGTTGAGTTTAAAAAACGGATTTGTAAGACAACATTACGGTCGCTAGCTCGCTTGTTCCCGATTTAAGTTCATTAAGTTCCCGATTTTTACAAAAACATCAAATCTAATTCAAGTTATGGCAGAAAACTAAATTATTCAGAGATTGCGTGAAAGCAAAAACGCTATTTGATTGTACGTTTATTTTTACAGTGTCATTCAATAAAAGTAATCAGGAAGCGCGGGAAAATTTGGATGGTAAAAAGTGACTGAATAAAAAAGAAAGCTTCAATTTTTACTTAAAAAGCAACATTTTTGCACGTTCTTCGTCAATTTGTTCCGACAATCACTCAGATTTTGACTCAGAGTAGAGAAAATTTTTTCGATTTCAAGTGATGTTCGCCACACAGTAAATTTGGTAGGAATTTTCATCACAAACTCCAATTTGAAGTTTTTCACGTAAATTTCTTGAGAATCTTCATGGCAAACTAAACTAAAAAGATTTGAGCAGTTGAAGGGCAAATTTGCAACCCCTGAGACAGCAAAAAACTATAGGGCTGGGAATTTCAAAGTTTGTAAGTTTTTATTGATTCAAAATGTTTTTAAAATCACACAAAACGTCATTCATCGGAAAGATTTGGTCAGTCAAATTTGGAGGCAGGTTTTGCAATCCCTGAGGGTATCCTGACAGTGCCCCACTATATAATTAAGAATTTCAATCAAAAAAAATCTCGGAAACTAAAAAGATGTGAGCAGCCATTACTGGAGAAAAATTTCGCAAGCCCTCAATATATCCTGACATCTCCGCACTTAAGGATTGATAACTCAAATTTCATCGCACTATAGGCTTGAAAACTTTTGAAATCTTTTATTTGAAATTTTTTTTTTAAATATCTCTCAAACCAAAATGAATTGGGCATTCATATTTAGAGGCCAAAATGGCAACCTCTGTGAGACACCTGACAGTACCCCGCCACCAGGTTGCATAATTAAAAATTGGCAAAATAAACGCCGAAACGAAAAACACCGGTTTCATAATGTGCAGTTGGATGAATCCCACCTTTACACTACCCTACACAGCGCTGCCCTCCTACCCTACAATGCTGGCACCATAGCCACAGCCTAACATTCGTGCCTTTCAATTGGCCCAGCACTCATAAACTTGAAAAAAAATTCTTTTAAGCATTGCAATATACGATATAGCTTAAACATGGAAACTTTGCTTTGCTTCCGAAAGCGTAAACTTTAAAGATATAGTATGGCTTAAACACGGGGAGATAAGGGCAGACGCATTTCAATACAGATTATTACATAATTTTTTTGCTTTTTTTCACTTAATAAACGGCCAACGTAGACGAAAAAAATAACTTTCTCCTCTTCTTGAAGATGATTCGCCTTCGCCAGAAAAAAATTCATACAAAAAGTTCAAAAAATTTAACGAAAAAATGGAGTGCATCTTTGAACTGGTCAAAAAATCTTTAAAGAATAAGTTTGAGGGACTTCTGCGTAAAATACTCCATTCAACAATGAATTCGCGTGACAATTGCTTTCAACCATATTTATACATGAACACTTAACATGAAAATTGGCATCTTGCTAACTATACACCACTGACAAGCTCCTTTAGTACTTAGAAACAACTTCCACCCCAACAAAGTAATTCAACGGTTAAACATATGCGAACTTAGTACTTTGTAACGAATCCCCCCTCTTTTGCAGCAGGGGAAAAGTTAACAAGATCCAAAATTTGTTCAGGTTCACGAAAAACTTCGTCATTTTCCAATTTTCAGATTTGATGTTCATACACAGAGACGAATCTGTGCTTCGCAAACGCAAGCGATAAATCAGCGAAAAACATATCTAAATAACGAAAAAGTGAAATAAGGTTTAAAAAGATAAATAGGACAAATAAAGCTTTCGACTTGGTGATTAAGAGTCTCATGTTCTAGCAGCCTCACGTTCTCGCATTTGCTCCATGGTGGCTTGACCATTGTCAAACACTGGCCGCCAATATAGCAGATACAACAGATGCTCTGCCAGCTAGAGTGCCGTTAAACTTCCGAGTTGGATTGGAAAAAAGTACATTCGTGCAAGCTTGCTTGTGCAAATAGCCATTCCATGCCCTGCGTGGAGTTACATCATGGTCCATAAAAAAATCTATGAAGTACATTTTAAACAATCTCATTCAAATCTTTGATAGCTAGATTTGTCTGTCTCATCCTTGATTGTTTCGGCTTTGCTTAATTCAAGCGTGAGAAAAAAAATAATTCTAGCACATTCAAGTTAATTTCTAAAATATCTATTTGCATATTCAATTTAACACACAAACAACATCTCAACTTGCTGGCTAACTCTGAATTCAAGAACTAGGAAAATATATAGTACAAGGTCAGATTTACATGATGACAGTTTTTTTAGTCTAGATTGGCAGATGAAACAATTATTGGATAACTCTCATCTAAAGAATTAATTTCGGTGAAGCTCATTTGGTTTGAAAAGCCAGCAAATTGTTTACACTGTTAAAGTAAACTGTCGATCTCGATAATGTCAAAAATTTGATCATTGCGGTACTAGTTTACATATTTGGTCCTCAACAAAACTATTTCAAATCATTACTCCTTCACTAATTCTTTTCAAAGAAACGTAGCGTGGCAATTAGAATTCAGACGCTCAGAGGGCTGATTACTTTTTAATTAATACCGTTGATTATATTGGCCATTAGGGTTGATTGCACACTTTTTTGTTTGTAACTTTCTCTCACAAATGCGGTTTGTCGATATTTGCGAGCATTTGGAAATTCATAATAATTTTCATGCGGGGCCAGAGCATTTATGAGGAACCTAACAAGTAAACTACTAGCTAGTAACAATTACTTTTAGATTAAGCATTCCCTACTACAGGATCAGTTGCCGCATTCAATCGCAGTTTCACAAACTGGTCTGCTATGTGTGCAAATATTGTGTCCACATTCCGCCCCGATTTTGCCGAGCACTCAAAGCATGACGTCATTCCACTCTTCTGGGCGAACTCAGTCAGTTCTTCGCGACTCATCGCCGGGTTGGGCAGGTCGCATTTATTGCAGATAAGCACTTTGAGTGCAGGTCCCGAATTTACACGTCTGCAGTAATTCGAATAGTCTCCGAGCCAATTTATTGTGTAATTCAAAGAAATTTTGCAAGTGGCGTCAAAAACAAAAAGTGCTGCAAATACGTTTGAATAATAGGAAGAATTATGAGATTGAAATTTTCGCATTCCCGCCATGTCATAAATTTGAAAAGTCACTGGAGTGCTTTGACCTTCAGTGACCTTTCCTGTGACATCATCAGTTATATCTGAAGAGGGTGAAGGTATTGTGGCTTTGCTGATGTCTATGCATAATGTGGTCCTAGAGTTTTCGGAGTTTTTGCCAGTGAGGAAGTTCTCAATAAGGGAAGTTTTTCCTGAGTTAGTCGCGCCAATGACAAGAACCTATAAAGAATAATATCAATGATTGGGCCCAGTTTGAAACTAACTTCACCAAATGACCAGAGAATCATTGACGAAAATCAGCGAAAAAGAAAAATCATTCGATTCAATGTTCATATAAAGTCTTTTTTTTATATTTTTTTTTCGAAAACCTCGACTCGAGCATTGGAATCACGATGTTTTACAAAAATGTGGGTTTTGAGGGCTTATAATGTCTTGAGATAACAAGCGCACTGAATCAGCGCCCTTTGAGTAATTAATTAGTATCTGGCGTCCAGCATACGACAAGCCATTGCTACATATTTTTTGACTCAGCAGTCGGGATTGCTTTCTTACCTTACAATCATTTTCGTTCTCTGTGCTCGATGAAAACCCTCCTTCCGTGTCATCTTCATTGTTATTTGTGTCGCTTAATTGGCAGAATGTCCCATCCGGTCCGTCCTTCGAGAACAAGAAAGGATCACATCCTTCGTCTAAGTCGCTGAATTCGTCTTCGGCTAACGGAATTCCAGACTCGTAATTTTTAATAGTGTCTGAACTCATTTCATCAATAAGCTTCAATTTGTCAAAAAGTGACCTTAGATATTTCTAGTCACTTCATATATGCGAAGTAAAATAAAGCTTAATTCTAGGCCAATTTGTGAAAGCCTTTCATTCAAATGAGTCCAAAATCAATCACATTGCGATCGTTTGGAGACAAAGAACAAATATCAATTAAGTATTTGGATTTGCGTAATACCAATTGTGGATAGCAGTTACGATCTGTGTACCGCGTATAAGCAGGTGTAATTGGCCATATTGCATCGCATTTGACTAATCTGTAAAGTAATTGGGTTAGATTTACCCTGAATCTGAAAACGTCGACTCCCTGATTAATAAAAGTGAGCAGATATAAAGTTCAGTACACGCTATGCAAATATGGAAGGGGCAGTCATCGAAAACGCTTCAAAGGTGTGTCACAGATGTAGAGGCTAGATAAGAAGTACAGTTTCGATTTGTGACACTAAATAACAACTTTAAATTGAACACGTAGGCGAACCGAGGCTTCCTATCAACTCCAAACATAAGCGAGAAAAGCGCAAAAAAAAGCTCTTAGGAAAAATATAGTGAAATAAGAAAAGAAAAGGTAAAACATAAACCTTGAAAACTAAAACTTTTGCTATGTACTGGAACGGCACCTCAAACCTGGAAACTACGTCCTCGCATCTTCAGCACGATCGCTGACAAATTTACGACCAGTAGCTACCAATCAAGCAGCTACAGTTCCTATTAAATTGCCAATGCTATATAGCAAAAAAGCCAGCAAATAAACAGCCAACATGCAGTTGGAAAAGTGTCAATGAACACAAGGGAACAGAAAAAAAACTGACTTGTTTCTTGAAAATATTTCAACTTTCGATTTCAAAGTAAGAAATAAAAGGCTCTTTGAAATTCAAGAAAAATTTGAAATCGACTGTCGAAATTGAAGCGGAGGCACTTAGCATAGTGGTAAGGCGTTCACTTCGTGATCGTCAGATCGTGTAATCGATCCCCTGCCATGACAATGATAGTGTGAGAGGACAAGCTCTCACTTGACCTCCAGTTTCAGGTCTACCACAGCCTGACCAATTTCGGCTGCAACAGTGCTACCACGTGAAAATTCTAGACATAGAAAAAATTCTCGAGTGCCATAAAAGAGCTTCACTAACAGTTTGAAAAAAGGGGAAACAAGAGACGTACTATGCTTAAACGGTGAAATCCCATTTGTACCAAGGTTCATTTGTACCAAAATGAAAATTCGGTCTCAATTGAACCAAAATTAGTCAACTCCATTTCCGATTGGTCGAATTGTGAGCCAACGATTTGTTACATTAATTTTTTACCGTTCAAACAGAAGAAAACTAAATAGCATAATAGTGACCGTGTTGCGAGCTTGCCAACAGAGGGTAGGACTATACGAAAATTAGAGCCGGTTATCGCCGCCAAGCGGCGACGAGCGCGTAGCCCACCCACCGCCGACCTTAAGCCAAGAGCTTAAAACAGTCGGATTAGTAGTCTTTGGCCAATTGAATATTTTTGGTAATAACCCGATTGATTTTTTATTTTGGTACAAATGGGACTGATTTACCATTTTGGTACTTGTGAATACCCAGCGCTTAGACAGGCTGCCAAACCGTTCATAGAGCCTCTGCGAATCGCAGGAACGACAATTATTTATGATTATTAGTCGATCACGTTTTTCGTGACTTTTACACTTTTGCTGTTCTGGTTTAAGAAAAGAAATAAACAGAACTTAAGTAAAAACTGCCCTACAAAATCCTTGATATCTCAGTCAGCAAAATATAAGCAGACAATAGACCACTAACTTTTTTGAAATTGAACAATTCGTTTGAAAAAAAAAACATGACCGGATTTGAACCTAGGATCTTTGCAATCCACGGCGTAGTCGTTGCATCTAGACTAAGTATGCAGAAGAAGCTAAGAAAATTATTTATTATAAACCAAGCTACCCCAATTACTCAATTGAATTTGTTAAACAGGTTGGTATCCTGGAAAAAGTCTTGATCCCGACTTGATAACGCTTGCTAATTGGACGCGTTAAATTCTTTTTTAAAGAAAAACCAACCTTCTCAGTAAGCGTGTGGATTAATTCTGAGAAATATGCAAATTGAACTCCAATTAAAGTAATGAAAGCGGGTCAAGTTTGCCATTAGCAGACAATAAACCAACTCAAAAAGATCTAAGAATTATTTTGAAGATAAAGTCTACTTTTGAAGACTTCAAAAAATTAACGAACTCAGTAGCTGAGCATACGCTAAGCGACTCGACCGAAGACAATATTCGACAAAAGGTTTTTTCTACTGAACCCGGAAAAAATTATAACAAAAATGACAGACGAAACAAAACAACTGTTTTGAACGTCCAAAAGTTTGATATGAAACAAAACATTCTCACACAAAAATTAAAATTGGAACAGCAAGCAAAAGATCCTGTCAAATATTTTATAGCGCATTTGATGGTTTTTTGATCTCAAAGGAATTTAATAAGCAAAAAATCAAAATAAACGTATTTTAACCAAATGATTTAAAGACAGTGAAGTTGAATCGACAGTGAAGCCAATTTCTTTTAAATAAATAAAAATATATATAAATATTCCTACAATTTTTTACTTTCTAAAAATTATTGCAAGTATAGCTGCAGTTAATTCATATCATATAACAAGCCCGTAAAGAAAATTTAAGCACTAAACTATCTAGATCACAATCAACGTGCTTAAATTTTGGGGCAAAATTGCTGATAAGAAACTGGTTATTGCCGGATTATAAAAAGGCTGGCTACCGCGAGTGCTCTGAAAGAAAAACAAATGTTATGCTCGCCTTGTTTAAGGAAAATTTTTTTATTTTTCTACGTTACTTATTATTTTTGGTCCAAAATTCCTGTTAGTTATTTTTTGGAAAGGTCCAAAAAGTAGGTGAACCATAACTAAAATGAGTGGTAATAATAGATTGAAAAAAATATAGTATAAACTAAAATAAAAACTAATTTGGAGGCCCTTTTAAGAAATGGTATAATTGAGTCTGAAAACAGGAAATATTCAGAACAACTTTTCTCGACATCAAGAGTACTTAGACATAAAGAGAAATAATTTTATTCGAAATCGTGATACGAACAATGGGAATTTGATGTTGCCACAAGCTTTCCTAGAGGCAGTCTAAAGACTCTACGCCATAGTTACTTCCTACAACCTATTGAAGTTAACGTTTTAAGGCCACTACTTAACTTCAACCCACTCTTACTTACGTTGCGTTAGCAATCCCATATTAGAGTCTCTAGGTACGTAAAATATTGTCAATTACCGTTTAAAACCAGAGACGCTCATTCCGAAAACGTTTTTTTTTCTAGTGAACAACTAGTTTGATCCTTGTTGTGGATAAATTTTCAAAACACCCACCTCAGAATGGCCGGGAAATTAAAAAAAGATAAGGACAAAATTAGTACTTCAAGGCGTCAAGTAAAAAATATATAACAAAGCCTCCGAGACAAATTTATGATGCTTCCGATGCTATATTTCTTCCAAGAGAGTACAACACAAGAGGATTTGAAGAGTTTTAGCAACCAATATGACGGTTTGTGAATCTTGAATTTAAGCGTCCAGGAGGTTGCACGACAACAAGAATGCACATTTTAAATGTTAATTTCGTGGTTGACACAGTTCGCCTTCACGTTCTGTATAGGCGAGACAATTTCAGAGTGATCAAAAAAGTCGTAGTTGACATTAACCGCAATCTCGTTTGTCTGGTCGTTCACAGGAAATCATGCAATTTCTACTGCTTTTCTTTCCACCAGAGATCATTTTGAACAAAAATGTCACTTTAAACTTTAATTTTCCCTAGCTAATTTTTGGCATCCTAAATGGTTAACTGGCACATTTACCTCACCTCGCCCGATCTCATCCGATCTTTACTTGCGGTACCTTCAGTGGCGTAAAATCCCACGCCTGGTTAGATGGTCGGAACAGATGTAGTTCAGCAAAATTTCGATCAGAAAATAAAGCAACAAAACGAGCAAGGTAGAAAATTGTCTTAAAAACAAAAACATGCTATGAGCATGTATGATCATATAACCTATGGCACTGCAACAAAAAATTCTTTAAATCAAAATCTTGAAAATTCAGAGAAAAAACATATCAAAGCAATTTTGCTGACAACTAGTTCTTAGCACCACAGATAAGGCGTATTTTTGAACTCATTTTCCCCACGCAAAATCAAGCCATAAAAATGTCAAATGATAAATCATATAAAAGCTATTTTGTTCGCTATACGAGCTACAATGAAAATATATGTTTTTTTTACATTTTAAACCGGCGCATGAATCACACCTACGGTGCATCAAACAGGTCGTTGAAAGTGAAAACTTTTTTCTAAAATATATAAGATACAGCTACGAAATTTAATGCTAACGACATTTAATGCAACTGCTTTCATAAGTTGGAAGATTTTTTAAATAAATTAAAATTATTTTGTTCTCAGATCTTCGAATTTTTCAACTCAAAAATAGGACCATAAAAAGGCCGACAGCATGCACCTGCACTTTCCATATTAACCCTTGCGATAAGCAAGGATATTGCAACCGGGTACTATACTTATTTTCCCGTAAATAACTTTGCTATCAGCAGAATGGTCTATTTAAAAATTTACCATTTCTAAGATCCTTTCAATCTACCCGCCACCTTCCTCTTACATGTACGACTTATTTAGGGACCGAATTTATTTTTAAAAGGTCCATGCAAGTCTTATAATTGTTTTTTTTTGCCAAATTTCCGGATTATTTTCAGTTTATTGGGTGTCGATCTTAATTTTGTCAGCTTATTTACCTAATGTTTTTATCAATTAGTCATAATGAGAAACTTAAATAGAAATAAACTTAAATTTGACAATTTATGTACAGAAGCTTAAAATCAACTTCTCTGACACCTTTCAAAACCAAAAAGAAAAAAAATTGATTTTTTTTTCTTTTTTCTTTTAACGGACTGTTCAGTGTATTTGGTGCAGTGGTAACACCCATGCTTGAGATGACAAATACAGAAAGCTCAATTCCAGTCGTTACCTGTATGTGTGAGGGATCTGAAAATTTTCGACGTTCGGGTCTCCTTTTTTTGTTGGCTTAAGTCCCACAGAAAGCTCTTTGTAAAGATTCTAATGGTGCAACTAAATTTGTTCCAGGAATTTATCCTTTATTGAATTTTCCTGCCTAAAAAAGTAAGGATGTTTTTTACTGTACATTCATTAACTTCTGACATGAGATTCCTGCAAAATTTAGTTATTTAATTTCATTAGAAGTACGTATGTCATTTGCCGCAACCAATAATTTAATCCAGTTTAAGTATTTAATACAAATCAACTCTGAAGTTTATTCTGAAGTTTATTGAAAATATTTTAAAAATTAATCAAAAGTGCGATATCTTGAAAATTTTAAAAAATGAGCAGTTACATTTGGCGGCCAGACCTACAACTTCTGAAAGTACTTTGCCATCACACGTCGGGAATTAAAAGAACGTGAGCAGTCATATTTGGAGGCGATGTATTTGAAGTACCTTGGCAATGCCAGGCCATAAGGTCGAGAATTTTGAATTTTATGAAAATCATCCCCCCACACGCCATATAAAGTACTAAAATATAGATTTCGCTCCTTGTAACAAATCAATATGGCGAATAAGCTTCTTTCAACCAATTTGGAACGATTTCTAAGACGGATTAAATCGCCGCTTACGCGTTAATAGCGCGAAATATATCGCGCGTTAATTCTCCCAAATTGGCCAAAATGTCAATCTTTAAACCCCCATAACTTTACGAAAAATGATCACAGGTGAAATATCTTTTCAAATTTGAGCTCATGACAACAATACCTTTCGAATGATATAAAAAAATTCCGTCAAAAATGGCTAGTTAAAAAGTCGAAATTTAACTGAAGAAAAAAAAACCCACCCCGAGCACAAACACTCCGTTACTTTTGTATCGAAAGTCGGAACAAAAAGGACATATCTCGTAAACTAAAACGAGTTTTGGCAGCCAGTTTTTGAGACCAGGTTTGCAACACCTGGAGGAACCATGAAAAATTCCCATCATAAGATTTCTTTTTCCAAACTTTGTCCAATAGTAAATTAAGAGAGCGAAAAAGAAGAGCTAAATGAAGCTTCAAAAACTAGTTTTCATAGAGTAAAACAAAGGTTTGATTGCTTAAATGAAAACATTTACTCTAATATTGATCGAATTAGTTGAACTGAAAATTTCAAAACAATTTTTCTCGCGACAATGGGAAGCCTTTTTGAATTTTTCTTCGACCAACAGTTCTTCAATATGATTTATCACTAGACACATTTCGATGATTATTTGTGGTACCTAATTTTGCGAGGAAAACAAAAAAAATAAAACACCTAAGTTCAAAATTCCTCCCTTCAAATTTCGAGCTAAAACTAACCAGACCTTGCCTAGAAAACCTGAAAAATCACAGGGACACTTTGCTAGTGAAAAGTAGAAAGACATAAAACTGATATGAATTCAGCTCCAGAATAAATAATGGAAGAAAATAATCGCAACTGAAATGTTTGTTCTTATGGAAATCAAGCTATTCTACAAAACTAAAGAATATTTTCTCAAAAAAGTATTCCATATTCAAAACCAAACATGCTCCTTTACATCAAGACAGAACCTCTTTGTCTAAGAATATTCTTTCCCTTGGCTTTCCAAGCTCCAGAGCTTTCAACTTTTCAAACACTGAGTTTTTCTTGTATTTTTTCGGATACTTAAGCTCAACTCGGATTACAGACAACGCTTTAAAGGGATCTGTATGCCCTAAATCTCCACCAATCACGTTACGAGCACAGATGTAGTGGATCTCGTCAAACATCAGATGGCTGTTGCATTGAGGGCACATGTCCTGAATAGCTCCAAAACACACCATATCTGTGGCCATTCGAACCAATACGTCGTGTTCTTCTGATTGCAAAAATCCTCTCAAATTGCAATTCACAAGAGCCTTCAATTGATCAACACTCAATTGGCAAATAATTCCAGTGAGTTCACCAACCTGTCGGTTTTGTTGGGATAATATAGTCTTTACTTCTTGTTGCTTTACAAGAACTCTGGATTCGATTTCCGTTTTATCCTTTGTATCAGCGATGACAATTTAACTAGTATTTAACAATTTTAGTGCATGTAGTTGATAAGCTCTAAAGAAGTAATGATTGTTTGGAAAACTAAACAAATCCAAAAACTTTTAAAAAAAACGCCAAAAATAAGATTTGAAACCTGGAGGCAACGCTGAAAAGTAATGTTATATAACATAACAACCGGTTTTCACTATTGTAACGTTAATGTTACGAAATTCTGATGTAACTTCGGCTTCAAGATATGACGTTCTATAGATATGGCAGTTTGTTGAACATCCTAAAAAACTAATATTTTTAGACACATTAACTAAATAGTCATCGCTGCCTTGAACATTAAACTGTGAAATCCCTCCAGATGAAGATAACTTTTCACTCTGAAAGTCTGGAAGAAACAGTTCGAATCAAAACATCCTTTGAACCGCACTTGGCACTGTGTGATCTCGTACACGTACGTGAAAACAAGTTTTTCAGCTTTGATTTGTTTGTTACAAATGGCGCAAACTTGTTTTCTATTTGGAATGTAGAAACAGGCAGCTCCGACTGTCAAATTGTTATCGAGATCAATTTTGAGAGTTCCATCGGGGTTCGAAGGACACTCAATTTGTATCTGTGTTTTCATTCTTTGATCATATTCTATTGTCTCATGATTTACGGGTTAAGAAATGATGGCGAACAAAACCATTTTAATAACAAATATCATCAAAAACAATCCAAACTGAAAGGAAAAATTATATCACCGCAACGCATAAATCGTGAACTCACAATTTAAGGTGAGGATGGAACAATTGAACGAGTATTTATTCTTCGCAATGAATTAGGTAGCAAAAAAAACGCTGTTGATGGGTATATCATAATATTACCCACACAAAAGTGGTATTCCAAAATGATAAATCAGTCTCATTTGTACCAATTTTTTTTTTCAGCAAGCTGTATCAATTTATCAATGAAGTCATAAATCAGCATTAAATGCATTGTCGTAATGTTAATTTATCTTAGCCGTCCTTCCTCTACAATAGCGCTAATGGAATTGTCGATAGATTGAACTTTACGCACCGATCTGCACCCCCTTATACATAGTATAGAGCTCCTCAGGAGCGCGAAGCTTATTTTAGTTCTTATGTAATTTATCGATTCTGGATAGCTTTCTTAGTTTTTCGGTTAATCGTTGCATCGTCCGCGTGGCTGTTGGAACAGCGGCACCGGTGCATCCGAAAACTAACGGGCAGAAGCTACTCTGCCCTACGTTTAAAACTCTTTGCTGATATTTGGAGTTCTTCAGCGTTTCGTGATACTTGGTTACAGAGCAGTATTTAGACAACCGCGTATTCAGACTCGTCAGTATTTAAACAAATACTGTTTCAACCAATCAGAATCGAGACAAAGAAGAAATTAATAAATAATTATGATTTATTTTGGATTATTTATGTCTTTTCTCGATTCTGATTGGTTCATACAATATTTGTCTAAATACTGACGAGTATGAATACGCGGTTGTCTTAATACAGGCTACACTCCGTGATATTTATATGCAACTTTATGCAGTTTTTGCGATGTTTTGGCATGGGGGTTGAAAATTTTCGCATCAGAGAAAGCGCGGCTAAATCGTAAACACCAGAGTACGTTTGACTTAATGTCAAGTCTTGCCTCATCTTCAGTTGTAGTTGAATTGTTGACAAAGCTTTCGCCTTGCATCGGCTGAAGTTTCGGCTCAATCTCGACGTCATGGCAAAGCTTGTTCATGAGGCTGGCAAATGTGTCTCTGATTTCATAGTGTATGCCAGTCGGTCATATTTGGAAATTTGACTTTGAACAGCGCAAGAAACATGATTTTGGGATGAAAAGGAATTTTCCGAAAATTCGAATTGGGCATGTCATGCTCAACTTTCTCGCGACAACTGGAAGCTTTTAAGCTGTAACGAGGGTTTTAGTCTCAAGTCGCAGGTGAACTGAATTGGCTCCGACCGTTCGAGGTAGAAAAACACAAGAGATAGTGTCCCTGACTCTTGAGCCAATGGTTGTAGGGCCTAATTTTTTTAAAGCTCATATGTGACTTAAGTAGGTGACTGCTACATAGTGTTTTTATGGCGCTCCTGGGTGTTTTTACGACATCATGACTACGGAGTCGAACCCACTTGACACAGCTGCGGGCTACATGCCCATTCTAGAGTACCGGTGGTACGGTTCAGCGGGAACGTTTAAACCTTCCGGTTGTACCGTGATAGCTTTTTAAGAAAACTCGAGAAAATTCCTGGTACGCTCTCCTAACGAGTAAGGGGGGTAACTAGGGGGACAAAAAACGAGCAAAAAGACAAAAAGCGAAACAAAAACAAAAAAAGAATAGAAAAAGGTACAAAAACCATTAAAAAAAGACAGTGACTTTGATACCAGATTAGTTGGATCAAACCTTTATATTAATTAAAGTAGTATACCCATACTGTTTCCACAAGACCGATCGTTTCAATCGAATCAGCAATTTTATACAGGTGCCCGGGTGTGGGGCCTTGTTAAGGTTTTTCAGATAGATTGCAACTTCACTGGAACACTAGGAGACTTAACTGGAAAAAGTGACCAGCCAAGCGGGAAAGCGGTTCACAGGAAGGGGACTCGACAGGTGCTGGACACACAAGAGGAACATCCAGCAAGGACGAGAACAAGCAGAGAAGGGCACAGGGGTGTTCTGTTTGGTCATTCGACGGACCACTAGGATACTTGATTGGTACAGGTGACCAGTCATGTGGGAAAGTGGTTTTGGTGAGTGGTGCGGGACACGCCAAGGAGACAACCAGCACGGAATCAGGACAGCCAGAGTAGGACAGACAGGGGTGTTCTGTTTGGTCAAACGGGTATCGTTAAAATCCACATTACATTATAGGAGATAAGTGTAAAATTGGATCAGCGGATTCCCACTGTTTTGAGGATACGCATTTACTCAAGCAGAGCCTGGAAACAGGTTCTACGGTTTTCTCTCAAGAGGGTTAGCACCCATCGCGCTTAAGGTAATTTTCGGCGTAAGAGGGGGGCTAAATAGGGGAGGTTAGAAGGGGGGCTGGTTATGTTAGAGGTTGGCGTTTGCAAATTGTAAAAAGGGGGACACGTTACAGTAACTAATCATTCGATATCGTCGATGTAGTTACATTAGAATCTTACACGCGTGAGTTAAAAAGCGAGGATATCCAAATTTGGGATCAAATAAAGGTAGATACCCTGGTCGGATCAGGTGGGGGATCGGAAATAGACAGTTTTTGGAACCTGGAAGGAGAATACCCCATAAGAACGTTAGTAGGGGGGAGGAAAACGCGTGACAATTAGGTACCAGGCATTTTTTCACGAAAGGACGACATTGGCCACCTTTGAATTTTAAATGGGTTCATCTTTCTGTTTTTATCATTTTTCTCGTTTAATTTTTTACGTTTTCGGTACTAATTTTATCGGTTTTGAAGAAACAGGTGATCAGAAGACACCTGCGAACAAGTTGGGTTTCAACTTACATTAGATTAATAAAGTGGTACATAAAGTGGTACCATTAGATGTGGTACCAGAGATAGTGGTTCAAGAGTCCCAACAACGAAGAAGAAGAGATCCGATTGTCCCAACACAATGAAAGAAGGGGTCTTGCGACAGTGTGAGGTGTCCCAAAACTTGATTGGCAAGGTCTTGGGACAGCACCAAAAAGTCTTGGGACAGCACCGAAAAGTCTTGTGACAGCACCGAAAAGTCTTGGGACAGTGCGAAAAGGTCTTGGCACAGCACCGAAAAGTCTTGGGACAGTGCGAAGAAGTCTTGGGACAGCACCGAAAAGTCTTGGGACAGCACGGAAAAGTCTTGGGACAGTGCGAAAAGGTCTAGGGATGTGCCAGTCGGTCATATTTGGAAGTTTGACCTTGAGAAGAGCAGAAAATACTTGATTTTGAAGTGAAATTTAATTTTTCAAAATTTCGAAAGGAACATGTCATGCACGATTTTCTCGCGACAACTGAAAATCAGAAAAAGAAATCAGAGCAATTTTAGAACAATTGCGGGGAAGTTGTCAATTAAAAACGAGTGGGAAATTGCTATTCGCAATTTCCATCATAGTGAACGAGAGTAGAGCTGTCCTACTTGAAATAGAAGACAGAGTATCCCCGAGAGAGCGATTACTAAAGTTGGACCAGAGTGAACCTTCAGCGGAAAGGCGGACAACTGGAGTGTCCCAACGGTCCAAGAGAACTCAAATTCTAGAGCATGAACTTATCCTTGCTGTCCAAACTATAAAACATTAAACTTCTCTTAGTTATTTATTTCTTGAGTTAGTTACTGACTGGATTATTTTCCCAACTCTTGAGAGCGCTGATATGTGAGTACGAATTTAAATTCTAGAGTGTGTTTTATGATTGTTATGTTGAGGTAAGGCGAGTTTTAGGTTGATCCATCTGAAATGGATCAAAGTCACACTGTCTAATAAAAAGTAACCTAACGGATTGTTCCAACCCGGTTTTTAACGGCGTTCATGTATTTTGGGTATCTAGAGACCTAAGTATGGGGACGTTTCTAATTCTAGAGTGGGGGGATATTTTAGTAGTAGCCTTTAAGCTGTAACGGGTCGTAGTCTCATGTCACAAGCGAACCGAACTGGCTCCGACCGTTCTTGAGGTGGGAAAACACAAGAGATAGTGTCCCTGACCCTTGAGCCAGTGGTTATAGGGCCTATTTTTCTTAAGCCTCATGTGTGACTGCAGTAGACGAATGTTACATAGTGTTTTTATGGCGCTCCTGGGTGTTTACGACATCAAGACTACGGAGTCGAACCCACTTGAGACAGCTTCGGGCTGAATGCCCATTCTAGAGTACCGGCGGTACGGTTCGACAGGAACGTGCAAACCTTCCGGTTGTACCGTGATAGCTTTTTAAGAAAACTCGAGAAAATTTCCTGGTGCGCTCTCCGAACGAGGCTTAGCTAACCGAGTATAGGGGGGCAACTAGGGGGACAAAAACACGAGCAAAAAGACAAAAAGCAAAACAAAAACCAAAAAAGAATAGAAAAAGGAACAAAAACCATAAAACGAAAAAAGACAGTGACTTTGACACCAGATTAGTTGGATCAAACCTTTATATTAATTAAATAGTATACCCATACTGTTTTACAAGTTCGATCGTTTCGATCAACCTAGCAATTTAAACCAGTAAACTGAATAAAGTGCCCAAAGTGGGGCGTTGTCAAGGGTTTTCAGATAGCTTGGAACTTAGCTGGACCAATAGGAGACTTGACTGGAAGAGGTGACCAGCCGAGTGGGAAAGTGGTTCAGGGACACTTGAGCTGAACCAATAGGAGACTTGACTGGAAGAGGTGACCAGCCGAGTGGGAAAGTGGTTCAGGGACACTGAGCTGAACCAATAGGAGACTTGACTGGAAGAGGTGACCAGCCGAGTGGGAGAGTGGTTCAGGGACACTTGGCTGAACCAATAGGAGACTGGACTGGAACAGGTGACCAGTCGAGTGGGAAAGCAGCCAAGAAGGATTTGGCAATTCTCGAGTTCTCAAGTTGGGCAGAACGGGTATCGTTAGAATCCACATTACATTATAGGAGATAAGTGTAAAATTGGATAAGCGAAATCCCCCAGTTTTGAGGAACGTTTTTACTTGAGCAGGCCTGGAAACAGGTCTACGGTTTTCTCTTGAGAGGTTTAGCACCCGGCGCTTAAAGAAATTTTTAGGCTTAAGAAGGGGGGCTAGAAAGGGGGGAGGT